TTTTTTAAATACTCGGTCTTCCATGATTTTTTTGTTGTTGCTGTTTTCCTTTAGAACTTGGAGATTTCCTTCTTCCCTCTCCAATCCACCTCCATCCTCCTCACTTTCCCCACCTCCCTGTGTTGGGCTCGAGGGGGAATTGCAGTTGGTAATTTTGTTGGGGTTTTATTTTTCCAGTGGTTTGGGTTTTTTTGGGGGGGGAGAGGGAGAGGGGCTTTTTTGGGGTGATGGGAGGTTGGGGGGCTGATGGAGCTGAATTTGGGGCGCTGCATCATCAGTTTGGGGACACCCAGTGCCACATGGGTGCACCCAAGGGTGCTGCTTCTCCAAGACAATTTCAGGCTGTTTAGGTTAAAAAAAAATAAAATTGTACTTTCTGTGATATTGTTTTTCCTCTTTTCTGCTGATTTTTGCCTTTTCCCCCTCTCCTCTTGCCTCTTCTAATCCATGTTCTTTCCCTGTTCCCCTGGCAGGAGGGATGTGGAGTTGGGATTGTGGATAGATTTGGGCTCCGTTTCTTTTCCAATGAGGATGGTTTTCTTTTTTTCTTTTTTTCTTTTTTTTTTTTTCTTTTTTTTTGCCACAAACCGCTTTATTTCCACTGTTTTTAAAAATAAAGAGAAAAAACAGACAGAGAAACAAGAAAAAAATTGAAGTGTTTGTGTGGTTTTATGGGGTTGGGGGAGGAAAAAAAAGAAAGGGATGAAAATGGAGAAATTAAAGGGAAATTTAAGGGGGCAATTGAGGAAAATTTGAGGGGAAAAGAGAAATGAAGTGGGAAAGGGTAATGGAAAATAAAAAGAGGGAAAGGGGAACCGAAAAAATGATAGAGGGAGAAATAAAGGGGTGCATTAATGGGGAATTAAGGAATTAAAGGGAAAATAAAAGGAAAATAAATCAAGAGGGGAAAGAAATAAAGGGAACAGGAAAAATAGGGAAGTAGGGGAAGAGAAGGCTGAATAGAGGGGAAGGAGATGGGGGAAACAGAGAAAAAGTATTAAATAAAGGGAAATGGTGAAAAGAGATATGGGGGAATAAAGGGGAAAGAGAGGAAAAAAGTAAAGGGAAAAATAGTGGAGATAATACAGGAAAAGTTGATAAAAAAAGTTGATAGGATGGAAAAGGGAGGGAATAGAGGGGGAAAGAAATACAGAAGGAAAATAGAGGAAAATTAGATTAAGGGGGGGAAACTGGAGAGAAAAAGGAATGGGGGGAAGAAAAAAACAAATGGGAGATGAAAAAGCTGGGGAGTAGAGGGGAGAAAAGAAATAAAGGGTTTAAGCAGGGAAAGGGAGAAATAAAGGACAAATGGAGAAATAAAGGGGAACTAGAGGACAAAAAGTAAAGGGGGGAATAGAGGAAAAAAGAGAAATAAAGAGGAAATAGATGAAAAATAGAGGAAGGGGAAATAGAGGGAAAAGGTGAAATAAAGGGGGAAATAGGGAAAGAGGAAATTGAGAAATAGAAGGGGGAAAGAAAAATAAAGAGGTGAATATAGAAAAATGGATAAGGAAATGGAAAACAGAGTGGAAAATAAAAGTAGCAAATAAGAGGAAAAGAGGGAAAAGGAGAAATAAAGGGGTACATAGAGAAAGGGAAAAATAGAGGAGAAATAGAGGGGGAAATAAGGGGGAAATAGAGGGAAAATGGATAAATATATGGAAAAGTAGAGTGGCAAATAAAGTGGGAAATATAGATGAAAATACAGACACAAG